CAATCAGCCAAGGCCGAAAGCAGCCCCGGTACAGCCTCACTAGGAGCTCCTGAGCTTTGGAAAAAAAAAAAAAATCATCTAAAGTTCTCCAAACAAGCTTCCACCCTAGGATTCTCACCCAAGGAGCTGTTGAAATAAAATGTGTGTCAAGCTGTCTGCTCATTAGAGAGAACCCCCCCCCGATGTCTCTCCTAAGTACATTATAAAGGCTCAAGTCCTAGCTCACAAAGCTCCAAGCCCCACCACACACAGGCTCTGTCCAAGCAGATGCTGCTGACAGGGACCTTCCCTGCCAACAGGGATCTGCATACGACTTGGTCTGGGAGCTGTTGAAATAAAATGTGTGTCAAGCTGTCTGCTCATTAGAGAGAACCCCCCCCCGATGTCTCTCCTAAGTACATTATAAAGGCTCAAGTCCTAGCTCACAAAGCTCCAAGCCCCACCACACACAGGCTCTGTCCAAGCAGATGCTGCTGACAGGGACCTTCCCTGCCAACAGGGATCTGCATACGACTTGGTCTGGACACGTCTCCTTCCCTGTGGGGCCCTCCCTGGCTGCTCCGTTTCACTTTGAAACCCTGTGCCCAGACACATGGGCTGTGTGGTAACTGACACCGAATAGCTATACGCTCTCTGTTCCCCCAGAACTGTCACTGGCTCCCTCCTGGGCCTCCCTGAGTCCCTGTCACAGGCTCCAGGGCCATGTCTAGTGTCAGAGGAATGCTGTTCTCCTGTGGCTGGGGAGCACTTGGGCCACCACACCCAGGCCGTGCTGCGTGAACACCTGACCATGTGCACAAACCTATAGAAGGGACAGCGTGCAGCCAGCACAGCGTCGGCCCGCCGGGCTCCTCTCCAGCACGGGGCAGTGCCAACCAGCTCCCTGACGGTCTCCAGCATCTTGTGCGCGCAGGGGTGAGCCTGGACCTTGCAGTCTGTGCCCGCGGTGCATATGGGCAGAGAGCATGCGGTCAGGCAGGGCAATGCCTCACCCCAGCCCAGCCACTTTCGCCCTCAGGTGGGTGGAGCACGCAGGCGGGGGTCCCGTCTCTGGCCACCTGCTCTGCACAACCCCCAGCCCAGGGCCCTAAGAGAGTATGCACTCTTGTGCTTTCCATATAGCAATGTCACTCTGGCACTGCAGGGAACACAAGGATCTCCCCGTCCTGTGCTGACTGAGGCAGCGGGGGAGGACTTGGCTCTTCCTTCAAGTAGGGGATGGGACCCCATCAGGTCTGGATGCCAAGCCTCAGGACCTCTCCCCCTAGATATGAGCTCAGGGCACCAGCCAGGAAACCCACAGGGACATAGAATGGAGAGCCCAGGCCACCACTCTCACCCCCTCCTCCTGGGGACCTCCTCTCCAGACCCAGCTCCCCAATCCCCCCGGGCGTGAGGTCCTACCTGGAGCAGCAGTGCTGCAGAGGGCAGAGCTGCTGAGGGCGCTGAGGAGGCCGTTGGTGGCGTCCTCCACTTGCTCAGCCAACAGCACGTGCTGCTCAGGGGGCTCACTGGCCAGCGTGCGCAGCTCCTCCCACCTGTGCAGAGAAGTCCCGGGCCTGGTGGCACCGCGCCCGCCCTCTTCCTGCCCACCAGAGAGGGGGCCCTTTTGGATGGCAGCAGTACCCCCACTGAGCCAGGCAGTGGCAGCATCCACACCAGCTAGGATGCCAGTGAAGACTGAGAAGTGAAGTCCTCCAGAAAGCCCAGCCGTAGGGTGCCATGTGCACGCGTCCCTCAGAGGGCAGCCTCGGCCTCAGGACCACTGCCTCACATTTGACATAGGGTCCTGATGGATTCAGTGGTCTGTGTGTGTAAAACTAAGCTTTATAAGAAAAAGAAAATCAGAGCACACACAAAAGAAAGCAGTTTGAAGCTACTGCCACAGAAGAGTAGACAAGGACAGCCAGTGACAGACAAAACCACTGAAGTTTTATATGCACTGGCCACGTGAACCCCAGGGGCAGAATGTGAGGCAGACAGGGGAGGCAGCAGCAGCTTTGATGGCCAGGGGACGCTGCTGTCTGTGCCCAAAATGGGGGAAAAAAATGCCAGGATGACAACACTAGGACATATAGAAAAGACAAAGTCTGGCTGGGGATTTAGCAGTGGAACCGCACCTGCCTTCCAAGTGCAAGGTCCAGAGTTCGATCCCTGGTACCAAAAAAAAGAAAAAAGAAAAAGAAAAGACTAAGTAGCTCTGAGAAACCTGTGAGAAGAAAGGGCAGTCAGTAATGTGTAGATAAGAATCCTGCCATTACAAATCCATCCAAACAGCTGGGTACAGTGGTGCACACCTGTAATTCCAACACTCTGGGACCAGTCTGAGTGCTGCCTGGGCAATGGGGAGAGCCATAAGAAATAAGGCAGATAAGCTGAACAGGACTGGGGTACGGATTGTGGGGAAGACTTGGAGTTTATTGTGAGTAGGAGGGGAAGCTTTGTGGAGGGTTTTGATGAGACACAGTTTAGGCTCAGCGTGAGATGCAGGTTGGACATCTCAGTAAAGAGGCCAAGCAGAAACTTGCTGCACGGACCACAGTGGTGCAGGTTGGAAAGAGGAAGACGGCAGATGGGAAAGGGGGCGGGAAAGAGTGTGACCACTGGACAATGCCAGTCCCTACTCTGCTTACTGCCCCACCAGAGCTCTGCAAGCTGCACCTCCAAGAGTGAGCATCAGAAACCACTGTTCAGCAGCTACAGTCATTTTATGTCTGCCGAGTAAGAAACGTTGGAGCTTATTTCGGTTTTCATTTCATTTTCTGCCAGTTCGTTTTGTTTTTAAAACATCAGCCCATGGAGGATTGCGGGGTAGGGTCCATCGCTCCAGAGTCTGAGCAGCCTAATTCCCGCGGCCAGCTTGATAAAAGCACAGGAAGACGATGTGCCTTTCCGCTGTGCGGCAGTTAACACCCTGCTTGACAAAATTGGGCGGCAGCTACCTTTGAGGCGCTCTTCGCAGCACTACGTGGGAGGAGGGTGGGCAGGATCTAAAAGCGTCCCTCCCTCCTCTCCCGAGGCTGTACTCATGTTTGAGAGAGAATACAGGAAGAACCCAGGAGGACGAGCCAGCCAGCGTTAATACCAGCTTACCAGCTATGACAGTAAGGAGGTGTCGCTGCCGGGATGTAGCACAGTCCTGGCAGTCCTCGCCCTCCCTGGCTGCTTCCCGGTCCCTTTCATTCTGCCATCTTCCTCTTGTACCCCAAGAACCCAGAATAGTGCCTGACAGACGAAGACGGCCTATAGTAACTAAGAGAGCAAGGCATTAAAATTCATTTTTAAAATTCTGAGTGCAGGCTCTGTGGCAGGAACAGTCATTTCATCAAAGACCTGCCACACCTAGAAGTCATGGACTGGGTGTCACGTCCATTTTTAGGGCTGTGCCCCTCTCTTCTGGAAAGGCAGATTTACCCAGCATCTGCACAAATGTGGCTGGAGAGGGGCAGCCAGTCACGGAGCCTTGCTCTACTGGCACCGGGAGGACTCAGGCCAGTAGGATTAGATTACTTGAAACTGAGGAAAGGGATTTTCTCTCTCCGGGGTTCGAAGGTGAGAGCTGGGCAACACCATTGCCTCATTCCAGCTTCCCAGGAGAACCAGCTGGGAGGAGAGGCAGAGGGACAGCAGAGGTGTGCAGCGAAGAGTGTGTGTTAATGGCTCCTGCCCACCCCGAGGGACCCCTGACCCCTCAGGGAAAGTAAATGACTATGAATTTCCATTTCTGCCCAAATAAATCTGAGTTGAGAGAGTTTCAGATACTTTCCATCAAGTAAGCAGACAAAACCAGGGATAATACAAACTCCCAGATTTTTTTTTTTTAAACCGGGAATTGAACTCTGGATCTTGCACTTACGAGGTAGGCGGCGGCACCACAGAGCTAAATTCCCGGCCCTCAAACTCCCAGATTTCCAAAACCAGAGACACCCAGTGCACAGGAGCCAAAGTCAGCAAAGTAAGGAGAAGAAAGAACCAAGCAAGGACGGGGACAGTTTTCCCATCCACTCCTGACACAGCTGCGCAGGCTTGGGGCTGTCCCCGAGCTGACTGTGTGAGGGCTGACACAGGACTGAGATCCTTACCTGGGAAACCGGACGCCCACCGCAAACACGGTGATGCCCTTTTCCTTCAGCTGCTTGGCCAGCAGTGCCACCTGCCCCTGGGACTTCCCATCGGTGACAATGACCAGTAACTGGGGCACAGAGCCATTTCTGCCCCCGGGGAATCCTCTTCGGAGAAGGTATTTCAGAGCAAGGCCTGTCTCTGTGCGTCCTCCCCTGAATGCACCCGGAAATAAAAAAGAGAAGAGAAATCAATGAGGCAGGGAGGTGAAGTTGGAAAGTGAGCTTGTTCCTGTTCCTGTTCCTAGAATGGCTGACTCCCAGCAAAGGCTCAAAGTGCCAAGTTCGTACTCTAAACCACAATGACAGGCACAAATTAACTCTTTGCATGGACTTAAGATTCACCTGCACATCTCTGTTATGTAATAATGTCCTTTGTAGTGTGTTATTTTCTCCCTCAAACCCAGTGATGACTCCAGGCCGACAACTCATCATTTGTTTAACACCCACCACCCATCTCCCCATCCATACGTCACCGTTTCCCCTTCATGCCATGGTTCAGCACCTTCTGGGGTTGCAGATACAGATAACTGAGCTTAGGAAAACTGCTAAAAATCTGCAAGAGTGACGGACAAGCTTTGCTTGATGGGAGTTCTTCCATGATGCCAACCTTGGTGGGCCATATCCAGGATCCGAGTTAGGTGCTGGAAGGCTGAACTGTCCAACCATCACCAGCTTAGGGGACAGTGGTCCAACATCAGTGATTCTCTATTTGCCAAGGGTTCTGAATGTTGTCTAATCCTCACAGCCCCACTCTAGGGACTGTTGCCTGGACTTGGAATCTCAGAGGATGATTTTGGCTGAATTTTGAAATAGAAGCTCAAGAAGTTGTTCCTCTCAGGTGCTGGAAGGCTGAACTGTCCAACCATCACCAGCTTAGGGGACAGTGGTCCAACATCAGTGATTCTCTATTTGCCAAGGGTTCTGAATGTTGTCTAATCCTCACAGCCCCACTCTAGGGACTGTTGCCTGGACTTGGAATCTCAGAGGATGATTTTGGCTGAATTTTGAAATAGAAGCTCAAGAAGTTGTTCCTCTCAAGAAAACAAAACAAAACAAACAAACAAAATGACTGCTGGCTTTGAGCCAAATGGGCAGAAAACGAAGCTCACTAGAGGGGATGTGAAGTTACTGAACTATCATCCCACCATGGCCAGACTTTTCAGCGGAAGGGTAGCACATCCAAACACATGCGACAGTGTGGGGCTACTGGAATGACTACAGCGATTAACTGTATGCATACAAAAGTTTCTGAACCACTAAGCACAGACTACAGAGGGAGAGCCCCATTTATGCTGACTGTAGTCTACTGATTCAGACGATGCCTGCCTTTAATTCAGACCCCCTGGAGGAGCCCACAGTCACTCCTTTAAGTGAAAAACATCCAACTAACAAGAAGCCTGGGCACCATCCTCTGTGAGTCTGTTATTTTGCTTTAACTTGACACTAAAAATGTTCATTTCTCTTACAATTCTAGCATAGACCTCCTCATCCAGCCATCTCTTCTTGCTGGCTTTCCTCCAGTTACTCAGGCATCCAGGCTCCTTTCATTCTGTGGTTCCACCTTCTTCCCAGTCCTCAAAGTTCTCTGCATTTTGCAGATAGATGGGAACGAGCATACAGAGTGTGCCTTGGAAGGATTTATAGACCGAGTCTAGAATATTCTTCACTTTTATTGCTGCTATGAAAGCTCTGAAAGGGCAATTCTCTTTGTGGAGCTCCATTAAGTTAACAAATGTCAACAAGAAATGACAACTCCTAGAATTAAGTCCTTGGCCTACAATATACAACAGTCATTCTACCAATCTAAAACCACTTACTTTTATCAATCCACTACTATTTGTGGGCCACTAGAGGGAAGACGGTAAAACGGAAACCAAGAAGTATAACATAATCTCACCCTTCAGAGAACTCCCAGGCCAGATGAAGAGATACCAATGCAAGGATGAGAATCTCAAGTAGTCTGAGGAGGGAGTTCCTTGCGGGGTGGGACTGCAGGGGACAGGCTGCAGAGGGGAAAGTGCACCTGAAGGGGTCTGGGTAAACCAGTAGCCTCGGAGAAGAGACAGCCATTCTGATAAGGGGAAGAGGTGTAAGCAAAGACAAAACCAAGCAACACAGGCTGTATCCAGGGCTACTGAAGAGAGCTTGGCTTTGGCGATGGGCTTATCATAGAGAAATATAGTGTCCCTACCTCAATGAGTCCAACATGTGCCCAGTGCCTTTCACCTTGTGCTGGATCGCACTTTAGACACCAAAGACAGCCGAGAAGGTTCCTATTCTCATGAATACAAAAGCCCTGTGTCTGCAGGGTCTTCCACCCACGTGGGCTCCTGGAAGAGCAGACTGCCTCCCAAGGGTAAGGGATCCCACCAACACTGAGCTTCCACTGTGTATCAGAATTTTAGCAACTGTTCCTGAATCCTTACAACCAGGGTAAAAGGTGCCAGTATCCTCCTTGCTTCACAGGGGGAACCCGGCTCAGAGAATAGTAGCAATAACTGCTAATATTCACCAACTGTGTGCAGGCTCTGTATGACAGTCATGTATAGGCACATGCGTGTGCACACCGGCACGCACACTTTGCACGTGGTCATGTTAATTCTTAGCACAGCTCTCTCTCTCTGAGATTGGGGAGTTGAGAAAAGGATCTCATCTCAGGTCTGCATCTCATGACTGATACAGGCAATAGTCATATCCTAGGCCCTCTTCTCCCACAGCCCAAGTCCTTAACTGCCTAGTCATTTTGCTAGTTAAGCTACTTGCTTCTCACCTACCTAGTGGAGTTTAAATCCACCGGGCTGACTTTTAAAGCTAACACTTTCCTCTCCAGGAATCTTAGTCATTTTCCTTGTCACTGAGACAATACCCAAAACCCAAAACTTGGAGCAGGAAGGGTTTATCTTGGCCCAAGTTTCAGTCCACACTTCTCTGGCTCCAAGGCAGGATGGCACGGCAGAGGCGAGCTGAGGAGGGCTGCTCATAGCAGGGTAGCAGGAAAGCTGAAAGCAAAAGAGGAGTCAGGGAGGGAGATGAACCCTTCCAGACCACACTTCCAGTAACCTACCTCTTCGGACCAGGCCCCTCCTCCTAACAGTAAGCCACCTATAAGCGCCCATAATCCAGTCACCTTTCTAAAGTCCTGTCTATGACAGTATAGGCCTTAGGGGGATATCTAGATACAAATCAAACTACCAGGCCTCAGCAAATTACAGCCTGTGAGCTAAATCCAGCCTGCCACCCATTTTGTAGTAAACTTTTACTGAAAAACAGTCACTTCCAATAATTAATATACTATGCATGCAGAAACGACATGGCCTGCAAATGGTTAGTTATTTACTATATGAGCTTTAATTGAAAATATTTGCCGACCTCTGCTCTAGACTGCTCTGCCTAAATGTTCACAAAACTCTCTTCTCCCCAGGAACCAAAGTGCCGCAGCCAGGAGCCGAGTGCTTCTGCCCCAGGCAGTGGGCTTGCTACCCACCCCGAGTCATTCCCTGCCTCCTGGCCCATCTGATCACTACTGCTCCTGTACAGACGCCAAGCTTCCGGACCAAAAGAGCACCTGTTCTCTACGACTACCTTGCTCCTATTTCTCCTACAGGTCTGCCCTGGACCCCTTCAGACTTAACGGTTTTTCTTTTTCATTTAGCACCCACCAGGGAAGTCTGGAGTCCAACCTAAAGTTTTTCTTCTTTCTTTTTTAACAGAGAAAAGAACATACAAAATTCATTACATGCCTAGAGTATTAAACTTTTAGCATGCCCTGAGCAGGTCTAGGCCTCCCTCTTCATAGCCACCAGCCAGTGATTAGCCACAAGTGAAATTTCAAGGACATGAGTGTCCCAGCCACCCACTGCATGGGCCTGACAGTGTCCACCCTTCACCTGGCTCAGCACATGAGCACCTACGCAGCCCACCCTCTTCACCTCTGCAGCCTCTCCCACGGAAGCCCTTCTGCAGGATTCCGGCCAACGACAGCCTCAATTCCTAAGGGTTCTAACCGCTGGCAAGTAAGAAGAAATGTGACTACTCAACCCATGGGACAGTTCCCATCTCCCAGTTTGTTCCGAGATCCAGAGCTGGCTCCAAACAGGGAGGTCTGAAGTTAACACACCAAGATTTTCCTAATTCTGTTCAAATGGGACTAAACTAGGTTAAAAGTTGGGAGTTCACGAACAGGCTACTGTCTTGGGGGGTTATGTTTGCCACGTGTGGGCTTTTCTGAGGGTGTGGGGAATAGAATCTAATACTTTGTCATCTGTACAGCCAAGTGTTTAAGAACAGGGGCTCCCAAAAGGGGATCAGATATTAGTTCCATGGTATTTTAGGTAAACTTGGAAAAATGATTTCGCTTAAGTTCCGTCTCCTCCCATGCTACAGTGGGGAAAGGAACAGCATTCAGTTGAAGATGAATGCTGTGTCAGGTGCCTTCTAGGACATTGGTGGAGAACCTTTTAGATCTTTCAGTGACAACAAACAGCCCACTGTGGCACATGTCATAGGGTTACCACCACTGTCTTGGGACCTTACCAGTGTGCCATGAGGGGTAGTTATGAACACAGCTGCAGCCCATGACAGGAAGTTTATCTTTAGCGTTTAGTCTCAAATTCTAATGTACATTTGAAAATCCCTCATGAGACCTAAAATAGATTCTCAGATTAAATTCTCAGGAAATCCAAATTGGCACGTGTATAACTGACCTGAGAATGTGCACATTTTAAAGCAGCACTGCCTACTCCAATGGATTCTGGGCAAATGAACCAGCAGCCATGGAACAGCCTTTGAAAAATACTTCATAAGAAATTCCTTTTAAATTCAGGGAGGTCAATTATAGCTTTTTTTTTTTAACAGTTAACAAAAAGCTTGGAATCAACCTAAAGGTTTCCTTTTGGGAGAATGAGAATGATTAAAAATGCACTGTAGGGCTGGGGATTTAGCTCAGTGGTGCCATTGCCTGACTCACAAGCGCAAGGTCCTTAGTTCAATTCCCCAGTAACAACAACAACAACAACAACAAAAAAGCACTGTAACAGCCAAATTCTTCAGATTATTATATAATCATCAAAATGAATCAACATGAAAATAATTCAGCTTACCGAGTGCATATCAAATAATAATAAGCAAATAAATACAAAATGCTTTGTAATTAA